ATCTTGTTAGGAACTACCAAAACACCAACTTGCTTATTGGCAAGCAAAATCCACTCGGCAAGGAATCCCACTGTTGGATAAATCACCAACCTACTTTACAAAAAATTGCAAAGTTGGTCAAACCTGTCAACCCACTTTGCTCAGCAAAACCCGCTCGACAAAGGTTTTTTAAGTTGGTCAAACCCGCCAACCTACTTTGTTGAGCCAAACCCGCTTTACAAAGATTTTCAAAGTTAGTCAAACTTGCCAACCTACTTCGCTAAGCAAAACCCGCTCGACAAAGATTTTTTAAGTTGGTTAAACCTGCCAACCTACTTTGCTCAACAAAGATTTTCAAAATTGGTCAAACTTGCCAATTTATTTCACCAAGCAAAACCCGCTCGATAAAGATTTTTCAAGTTGGTCAAACATGCCAACCTACTTTACTCGACAAAGATTCTCAAAATTGGTCAAACCTGCCAATCTACTTCACTAAGCAAAACCCGCTCGACAAAAATTTTTCAAGTTAGTCAAACCTGCCAACCTACTTTGTTCGACAAAGATTTTCAAAATTAGTCAAACCTGCCAATCTACTTCACCAAGCAAAACCCGCTAGATAAAGATTTTTCAAAATTTTTAACCAAAGGGCAGCACAATTCATCTTGCCCCTGTGATCCATAAAACGCGGATTTCATCTCAGTTCAGTGACATATATCGGCTGTGAAGTCACTGCCTTTTTGTAAGGACTTATAAGTCATGCTTCGATTTATTCGTTATTCAGCCATACTCCGATTCATCTACTCTTCTGCCCCCTGACTTTATTGTGATGTAATCACGGTAAAAGTTTTCATGACTTCGGCAATTTAACTTCCAAAGCTCGGTTGTTGCTTGTTTTCTTATAAGCATATAAAGTAATTTATTCCCTGTTAATTAGTCTGCTCGGGCAATCAGGTGACTCAATTGCCTAACCAGACCGAGGTTCCTGGGTCTAGTTATTGAGAAGATATTTCTTGCTTGCTTATCGACCATGTAATAAGGAATTCACGCATATTAATTCAAACTTTATTTTCCAATTGCCTGGTTGGACCGAGCTAAATCAATTTTGGCTATATCACGCAATAACTATCAATGGGATAATTCTAATCACAAAACTAGATTCTTGTGGAAATCTTGACACATATAGTACTTATACAACATCATTAATCTTGTTTTGCCTATGAGGTCCCAGATTATATAATAGGCCAAAAACATTAATAAAACAAAATATTCTTTCAAAATAGAAAAGAGTGGAAGTAATTTGTCATCAAGCTAATTGCTGGAGTATTATAGTCAAATATCACGTTAACAGCAGCTTATCTACACGAGCTTATCTTTTTTGTTGAATTTTATCGCCAATTGTACGGACATAAAAAAATACTGTATTTGATGATAAAGAAATCCAACAAAGAAGATGATTAGTACCACCACGTGATCGTTATTTGCAAGACAAAACACCCCTAGCTATAGCCGGGGACCCTCTGACGCCCAAATTAATCCTCCAATATTATCAAAATATTTAATGGACTAATTCATAGAGAGAAATCGCATAACTTAACCCATAAGGGTGTTGTCTATTTATAATATCCAGTAACTTTCTTCTCAAGTAATTTAAATGTTTCAGAAGTCCTATCCCAAACAATCTTCGGTTGTTCAGGATTTCTATATCGATAAGATTTTATATCCTGATAAGTTTTGCATAACATAAAATACTAATGCAGTGTTTGATAAGAATTTGATAACTGTCAAACATAATTTATAATTACATCACGTGGCACTGTCGGGATCCACATAATTCCTGTAGTTATTTTTATTCCCTCTCTGTTAGAAATGAAAATACCTTTACCGTTATTTATTTTCTTTCTTAATTTGTTAACATTTATGATTATTTAATACTGTTTATAGTAATCTATGAAGAGATTTAAAAACTGAGTTTATATAGTAATCTATGAAGAGATTTAAAAATTGAGTTTATAAACAATTTTTTTTCTTTTTATTTCTCTTCAGTTTGTTTCATTTTATTTCTATTAAGCTACTCAAATAAGTGACTGGGGGAGAATAGAATTTTTTTTTTCCCCCAAACCATTGAACTCATAAAAGACTGTAAAAGCGAATTAGGAAAAAAAAAAAAGCTAAAGAAATAACTTCATTAGATTGTTTGGTTTGAGTTTTCTGAATTCACTTTTCAGAAAATTAAAAATTCTTATTTTCTGTATTTTTTTTGTTTTCACTAAATTTTTTTAACGTTTTAAGCATTTTTTTAAAATTTTTAGATATACCTAATGTAAATATACTTAAAAAGTATAATATTTGTGAATTTTTTTTTAAAAAAAATTCACAAAATACCAAAAAAAAAATAGTATATATTTTTTGTATTCTTGTGTATTTATTATTTTTTAAAATATTTTTTTACAAATATTTGTTTTAGATACATCTAAGTAAGGTATATTTAAAACAGTAAAAAAATTACTTAAAATTTTAAAAATATTCACAAGAAACAAAAAAATACAAAAAATAAAAAACTCAATTTTTAAAAAATTAAATCCAAAAAATTAAAACCAAACACTGTAACATGTTTTGTAATTGCTTTCTCCATATGCAAAAAATAAAAAAAATAAAAAACAAATTGGCTACTTTGGGGCTTGCCTTTTAGAAAGGAGTCCCTCAAGAAAAATGATTTAGAACACTAAAAAAGGTGTATTAAAAGAGCATTAATTTATCCTTTTTCTCTTTGTGTTTTGTCTTTTTCCTCTTTCTCTCTTTTTTTTTTCTTTTTTTTTTTTAATGTGTGTGTGCATGTCAGCTCAATAGAGCTGCTTTTAGAGCCGCTCAACTAGTGGTCTGTATCACCATTGGTCCCCTCAAATGCATGGTGTTCATGTGCAATCAAAATAATTACGGTCTCGTTTGGGAGGAGTGTTTAGGCTAAAATAGTATATAAGACAAAATAGACTATTTTAGTTAAATAAGATAAAATGTCACATTTAACTGATAATTATTTCTTTTTTTTTCTTACAAAAGTCAAAAAAACTAAAAAGTTTATTTTGAACAACACTTTTTTAGTCCCAAACTAAAAAAACTAAAAAATCAATCCACATCCAAAACAAATCCTAAATTTTTTTTTTCTCTTTGTTTTTTTGATTGGGTTAGAAAATTGATAAGAAAATTAATAGATATTAGTATTTTAAAAAAATCTATTTTTTTGTGTTTAATTACCTTTAAAAAAAAGTAATTTGTAATTTGTAATTTCAATATTTTCCTTACCATTAAAGTAACCAGCTTCTAGGATGGTAGTGGCTACAGCCTACATCTAACTCTGATTATGAAGATGGAGGCCGCTGCTACGTCCTCAGCCGAACTCGATTAGGCCAAAAAATTCAATTTGATTGAAAAGAAGAAAAGGGTCATGCGACACAAAAAAAAAAAAAAAAAACTCACCTATCTTTGTTATATTTTTTTACATATTTTAATATATTTTTACATTTTAATCTAAAATCACATCGCCCTTATTGAAAACCAGTATCAAAATTCTAATGGATTAACATTTTCCTTCTCAGTCCAATATCCATTCAAATTAACATTTTCCTTCTCAGTCCAATATCCATTCAACAACTTTTGACATTATGCACAACCTTTTTCCTTGATAACATATTCTGAACAAGTTTGGATGATTGGACCCAAGAATGATTTTTTGTATAGGTCTAAATTTTTGAAGAGTAATGCTCTATGCACTCAATTTGTGCTCATATAAATTGATCAAATTTGTGTATGTCGATTGACACACCGGTCATTTAAAAACTCATCTAGCCGGTTATTTGGAAAAATACCAGTCATCTAGACAGTCATACGAGAGATTGTTCGGCCGGTTGTCTGTCTTACATAATTCAGACAGACAATTTGGATGAATCCAAATTCTGTGAATCAATCATTTTTCATTTTTTAATAGAGAATAAGAAGTTGGCCTAGTAAATGACTTACAAGACCATATGTCTTGGGAGAGGCTGAGTCAAGTTCAAATTGAGCAAAGAGATACAAAAATTGAACAAAGAGATACAAAAACAGCGCTATGTCGATTCCAAGGAAAGAAGAACGAGAAAGCTTTGGTCCATCTATTTGTCAAAATCCAAACAAGTTCGTTCCAAATCAAAGCCTATTAGGTGATTGCACTCCTCACTTAAAGCAACTTTCTCTATATTTCCCGGCAAAACTCCTTCAAAGTGAATGATCAACCTAGCTTGTGTATGAAAGGAATATAACCCAATCCTCATTTCCATTGTTTGAACTCAAAGAGGGGAGTACCAAGCCAAATAGACTCCCTATATTCTCTTTGTAATTCTTACTGGTCCTGTTTGTATTTGTACTCCATATATATAGGGCTCAAGTTAAAGCAAAGTTGCCTGAGCTCTTAATCTGAACTGAACAGGATTTAGCATTCTTTTCTGTGGTGTATACATGAAAAAGGATCTCACCCTTCATCTCTTTGTGTGGTGGGCTCATTTGAGGTATTTTGGCTTCAAGCCTTCAACCACCGCCTCTCTCGAAGCATACAGAATCAGTAATTGGGAATAGAAAATAATCAAATTTCAATACGAGGTTGCTTAGCAAATTGCCCAAGCCAAACAGTCGTTCTCATCCAAGACCAAACCAAAAGCCTCAAACATGTCACCAAGATTTGGATGTTAGTGATCAACAACCATCAGAACAGAACTACACAAGAAACATTTGAAACTACAGGAAGTTCAGTGATGTTCCACAGAGTAGAATTCTAGACAATTATGACGTGCTGATAAATTATTTGCAGATTTGAATTACCTGAAAACTAAAAACAAGGAAGTTCTGAAGAAGCAGTATGAGGGGGTCACAGAATAGCTCAAGAGCTTTATAAAAATCACATTTTCAATTCAAAAGAAATTATGGTCCAAGTAAGACTAGAACAATGAAAAAAGCATTTTTATGCCCACAAAATGTAGTCACCCTAACTTAAATTGAGTAAATGCACGCACTGTAATTGGCAACAAAGGAATTGGTGTTACCACCCCTTCAATAACTTGGGATAATTCAAATCAATTCACAAAAGCAAGAGCAAGCTGGCCTGAAAAATTATTCATTATAGGTGCTAAAATCCATATAAAATCTACTAGCAGAGTACTAAATTCCGCACTGCATTTCTAAAAAAAAATAACCTTGACAATTGAAAATCAACAATGTAGATATAATTGCAATACCAGCTCCCTATACAGTAGTTCATCAGACGCAGTCTCCAGAACTCAGAGGCAAGAGAAAATTGTGCTCCGAAAGTCATATGCAGAAAACCACAAAGGAAGCGTACAGCTGTTCTTCACGGAATACATCTCCTTCCAAAGTCTGCTATTTCGATAATACACCAAAACCTGCTTATGGGTGGCCAAGAACACATATTGACTGGCCTGACTTATTGGAAAAATACCCGGCACCATTCCTCTTATACATCTAAGACTCACTCTATCCACCATATGCCATTCTTCCCTCTCGTAATCTTTCATAACCCAAATAGTCATCCAAGCCTCTGAAATCTGAACTACGGACAAGTCCCCATCCAGCTCCAACAAATAAACCCTATTTCCAGATCCGGAACACAATTCATCCGGCAATGAAATTTTCCTCCAAATGTCACAATTCAAATCAAGAACAAGTATACAAGAGCAACTACTGGTCAACCAATGCAACGAGCCATTAACATAAACAACCTGGTTCCTATTCATTTGGGTGAAATAATCATCTTGCAGTGACACAAACTTCCTCCATCTGTTCGACACTGAATCAAATACCAAGCATATGAAAGTCTTATCAGGCCTATGCCCAAAGGATCGATGATAACCCGCTAAGACAACATTAAACCTTTGCATTGACAAATCACAAGCCAAACCAACAAGGGTGGCTTCACCATCTGGATAAAATCTAGTAACAGGTCTCTCCCTACTTCTGGGAAGCAGTTTATACTCTCTAGTCATGGGATTACATACATAATACACACCCTTATCAGGTATGCTAGAGCAACACAACAAGCCATTACATGAAGCCCTAACTTTGACTCTATCTTTAATGAAATCCAAAGAGAAATCACAAACACCAGACAATTTATCAATAAAGATCAAGCTTGATTTTGATTCAGATGACTCTGAGACCTCGACTAGTACCATAGGGTTCTTGACAGAGAGTTTATTGTAGAGTTGAATGAAATACTTGTCAGAGGACAATTTGTGCCATAGTTTGCAGACAGACTTGGATCTGAGGAGGTCTTTAACGGGTAACCTAGCAAGAATTTGGAGAATGACTTCATCGGGGAAAAACCCATGTTCTGAATTCGGACGATTCATGATATAATTTGCAAGAAAGATCGAGAGTGCAAGAAAATCGAGGAAAGCTCCGAATATGACTTACCCAATTACATCTCCCAGATGGGCATCCCGTGAAACTCAAGCTCGCGCAAATGAACCGAGAGAGAGAGAGAGAGAGAGTACGGTTGGATCTGAACTATAAAGAGAACAGGGATTTGAAACATTACAGAGGTAGGATGAGAAAATGAAATGAATGGGGAAGAAAAATCGAGATTCGTCGATGTGTGGATGCCATTTGCAATCAACGGTTGTCATTAAACTTCAGGTTAAGAGGATTTTGTGGGCCGCGGATTTTGAATAGTAGGTTAAAAGTAGGGCTTTTTTTTTTTTATAAATTCTATTCTAACTGTTTTATTCTATAAAATTTAAATTATTTTTAAATATTTCATTAGCTCCATTAATTATAAAAGGACGAAATAACTCTCTTTCGCCTCTCCTCTGTGTAACCGATTTTGCAAAACCCATTCTCATTCCAACTATTCAATCCACAAAATTTCCAAAACAAAAACTGAATCCACGAAACCAGATTCACATCGTCTCCAGTAATCCTAGATTCACATCGCCTCACCAACGTCGTCGTCGTCCACCGTCCACTGTCGATCCCAGATTCCTCTTCATCTCATCGCTGCGAAGGTTCACATCGGAAGGAGAGTGCTTCGTCGTTCGAAAATTCCTGTCGTTGGATTGAATTTCTTTCATCCACTGAGTGTGGTCCATACCCACCCACCATGAAGAATAAAAGTAAGCAATACCATTCCGCCTTTTGCTTTTCAATCATAATGTGATCACCAATGTATACATCCATCTTCTGGTTTTCGGATTTGAATTTGTAAACATAGATGTTTTCGGAATTGATTTTGTAAACATAGATGATGTAAACATTCACATTAGTGTTGATTACTGGCTAAACTTACATTAGTAGACACTGATGCGAACATTCACATCAGTGTATAACGATGTGAACGTTCACATTACTGTCACTATTGATATTGTTGATTGTTGATGTTCACAGAACCCCCAAACTTCACTCAACAATGTGATTAAATATGATGTAAATATTCACATTGTGACATCAATGTCAGAATTGTTTGTGTTGTTGGGTGTTGTTTGGTGTTGTTAGTTCCACCCTTTGATTTTTAGCCAATTATAACATAATGTGATCACCCATGTAAACATTTACATTGCCCTATAACTGTTGTTGTTTTCGGAATTGATTTTGCAAACATAGATGATGTTAACATTTACATTACTATACTGGGTAAACTAACATTAGTATACACTGATGTGAACATTCACATCAGTGATGTGAATGTTCACATTACTGTCACTGTTGATTGTTAAATGTTGTTTGGTGCTTTTGGTTCCATCCTCAGCCAATTATATGTTCTTATTTGAACACCCAGGTCTTCCCCATAGATTTGATGGCAAGCGAAAGAGAGGGGAATCCCATGCCAAAGCCAAACCTGATCAAATAGTTGTTCCTGAAGAAGTGAACATGAAAAAAGTTAACTACCGGTCAAATATAACTGGATTGGTCAAACTGTTAAAGGATACAAAATTTACAAGTGGCCAATTGAAGTGCCTTAGAAAAACACCGTTTTGGCCATTATTTGATTGCTTGATCAGTAATGAAGTCGACCTCAACCACCGCATGAAATATGATGATGTCATTATACGTATAGTGCAAACATTCAAGCCATCTAGTGGGAGGTTTTACATTGGGGATAAGAACATCCAGATTTTTAGAAGCGATGTATCACTGATTTTTGGGGTAGACTGCGGCACCAAGTCGATGGACCTCTCTTATGGTGCAAAACCAACAACCGGCATCATACACCGAATGTGCAAGGATGTTAGTCGGTTAAGTGCTGCCAAAATACGAGAAATTCTGAGCGAAGCATTAAAGGGCACAAAGAAACAAGACAATGAAAAGGTCACAAGATTAGTTTGCATGTATGCATGCGTCAAGCTATTCTTTTCTACGTCCGAAGAAACAATTGGATAGGCTTTTTACTCATATATGGACCCATTAGACAACATGATCGAGTATGATTGGGCTGAGAGCATCCGGACAACCCTGATGGGTTCATTGGGCCAAAACTGTGGAAAACCAGGACGAGTCACCGAATGTGTGATGTTGCTAATGATAAATCTCATAAAACTATTCTATGTTTAATACGAACATTTACGGGGTCTGCCCACTCTGATGTGAATGTTCACATTTCTAGGCAATGGTGTGGAAGTTGACATCAGTGATGTAAACATTCACATTACTGTTCAGTAATGTATAAACACACATTAGTAGACGCTGGTGTAAACATTCACATCAGTGTAGATTGATGTGATGTTAGCACCAAAATAAATGTGGAACATTCACATTACTGATGTGAATGTTCACATTACTGTTCAATAATGTACAAACACATATTAGTAGACACTGCTGTAAACATTCACATCAGTGTAGATTGATGTGATGGTAACACCAAAACAAATGTGGAACATTCACATTACTGATGTGAATGTTCACATTACTGGGCAATGGTGTTGAAGTTGACATCAATAATGTGAACATTCACATTACTGTTCAGTAATGTATAAACACACATTATTAGCCACTTGTGTAAACATTCACATCAGTGTTAATTGATGTAAACATTCACATTACTGGCCACTGGTGTAAACATTCACATTAGTGTTAATTGATGTGAATATTCACATTACTGGCCACTGGTGTAAACATTCACAGTATTGTTAATTGATGTGAACATTCACATTATTGATATTTGTTATTTGTTTCAGTACTAGTTGTGTGAGCATACAACAATCATATAACCCCGCAACCCCAATGCCATTCCGCGATGTGTAAAGTGGGACCTCACAGCCTTACATAGCAACATAAAGTCCATATCTTTGGCTAAGCTTGGTTTAAATGAGGTAGAAGTACAACCAAAAATATTGTGCCCATTCACATAGTGAGACAAGGAACTATCTAACTAACATAATGTCTCCAACTGCAGGTATATGGCGGCGAGCTAATGGCATTCCCAACTGAAGCGAAGATGTATCATCATACAAAATTGAATGTGGAGCCCAAACTTGAGATTTTGTCAAGTGCACCAGCAAAGAAAGATGAAAGCAATGATGATAAAAGCAAAGACAGTCAACGCAGTGACGACAGGGATGGATTTTCTGTCGATGCAATGGACCTGAATGATGTTGGACATGATATCAACCCCAGCTGTAACACCCCAATGCTGAGAGAGGTATCATCATAGCACAACCAACTGAGCCGGACATTGTGGATGTACTTATAAAAGAAAACCAAAAAGCTTGGGGTCGTGTACGACAATGGGAAGCGAAATACAAACAGTTGGAAGAATCATGAGAGTTGAGGGCAAGGGTGATTGCTGCCCTTGAAGCCAAACCATTTGACCAATCGGGCCCATCCAATATGGACATGGACATGAAGAATTGCATGGAGTGGAAAGATACAGAAATTTAGCGGCTGACAAAGTTGGTCATCAACTTGGAATGTGAAAAAACAATTCTTCAAGACCTTTTTGACGATCAGTCCGTCCACATTATCACTCAAGTTGAAGCACAAAAGGCTCATGACAGCCTTAAGAAGCATCCCACTGCAGCATTGGAACACATTATCAGCCCACCATCGAGGGTAAAGAGCATCAAGCAGAAGGTAAGGAAAGAGCACCGGTTAGATGAGTTTGAATACCCCAACTTGCCTGGTCAAAAGAAAGGGAAAGATGGAGCTGAAGAACAATCCCATGCAGTCCAAATTGCACAAGATTTAGACAAGCATCCACAAAAAAAGCAGCCAACAAAGTACAAGAAGTTAACCTTGAACAACAAATTCAAGGTTTGGGCCAACATGAGCAAACTCAACAAGCAGAAGGTTCAAAATTTGCAAAAGAACGACAGTGATGAGTAAGTGATCTTACATATCCCCAACTGAATTTTTTTTCCGCTCATGTTCAGTTCACATACATACTTAATAAATTAGATCATTTCATAAATGTGCAATGTTGACATTAACGTTTTTTGTAATCACAATGCACAAGTTGCTAGCCTGGCAAGGGGACTCAAAGACTAAAGATATGTATTTTGATGACATCATACACAACATCAAGGAAGAATCAATAACCAACAACGTATGGCAACTGTAAATGTGTACAAAACACACACACACACACACACACACTGTAAAGACATTGCAAATAATGTACTGCCACCCCTCTGTTTCTGCAGGTGATAGATGCATATGGTGACATTCTACTTGAACTACAAGGGCTAGTCAACCCAAGTTTGGAGGATTCAGCATTCATCTTTACAATCACATGTTTGCTAACCACTAGACTTTTGCTTTGTTTATGTTTCAATAGATGTGAATGTTCATCTCAGCATTATATGCTTATATTGTTAACTTAAATGATATGCAGATGTGAATGTTAACAAGAACATAAAATGACAGATGAGAAGATTCACATTGACAGATGTGAACATTAACATCATTCGCAGTGAACAATATATGCTTATTATGTTGTTAACTTAAATGATACACAGATGTGAATGTTAACAACAACATAATATAACAGGTGTGAACATTCACATCTGTAATACATTGCATGATTGTTTCACAAATTAATAGATGTAAACATTCACATCATTCACATCACTAATCATTAACAGATGTGAACATTCACATCAGTAACATCACTCATATTAACAGATGTGAACATTTATATCAGTAACATCACTCACCATTAGCAGATGTGAACATTCACATCATTCACATCACTCACATTAACAGATGTGAACATTCACATCAGTAACATAACTCACCATTAGCTGATGTGAACATTCACATCATTCACATCACTCACTATTAGCAGATGTGAACATTCACATCATTCATATCGAACATTGATATAAATACTTGGTACATCATTGTATGCCCTTTATGTGCAGAAAATCATGCAAGAGTACCCCTCTACAAGAGAAATAAATTGATTAATGTACACATCAAGGAGTATCAAGGTCAGAGATTCTTAATCTTCCCAATACACGATAACTTCCACTGGACAATTGTTGTGTACGACGTGAAAGAGAATGTATGGAGATGTAGACACCCCATTTTTTACCGTCCTTAAGACTTGGACGTCATCATTTGAAAACTCGGTGATCATCCTTGTTCGTG